TTGGTGCCCACACATTGCTCAATCGAGGCCTTCAGCTCCGTTATCACTGGTAAGAGGGGAACGCAGTTGGAGCAGGATGGCACTTCCCTTGTCCCCACCCCCACCACACAAAAGCCAGCTACAAGAGCCGATTTCCAGGGCTCCAGGTGGGACATTGGCACATACAACCATCACCCATCAGGTACCCTGAGACCTCCTCTGCTCACGCATCAAAGTTAGGGCAGCAAGAAACCCCCCTCCACCTGCCCGAGCTCAGGACAGGGAACAGCAGAGGCCCTAGTCACAGCTCAGCCACACAGATCTCATCCAACTCTCCTCCAGCACGTGCCACAGAACAGGGAGTACCTCCAGCTCTTCTCCTCCCTTCCAACAGCACGTTTTCAAGCCTGTGTCATACATTGCCACAGGCACCAAGAGTATTTCAAGTCTTGCAGAGCAGGGCCAGGGACCAAGAGGGGTGGCAACGCTCACGCACAGGCTGCGTTGCCAGGCCCTGAATTGCCACAGCACAGAGGAGAGCAGGAAACAACACCCAGGCCAGGACACACATCAGGAGAGACTTTCACCTCTCACAGCTGAGCCCCAGGATACCATCACACCTAACCCGGGCTGCTGAGCAGCATCCCTAAGATATCGTTGCCCTCAAGGGGGTTCAGGTCCCATGGCAGAGCCTGACATGGGACACTGGGCTCATATAAGGGTACTGGGAAAAGTCCAGGGCATAATCCCTAGCTTCAGAGAGCCTTTCCCCAACCTGTCCCACAGAGGGCACTTCTAGGGAGGTCTCTTACCTTGGTAGAATTGGGTATTGCCCAGGAAGAGGGTGCTGTTGAGGATGGCCAGGACCCAGCAGAGTGGCAGCAGGTAAAGGACACAGACAGAGCCCAGCAGTGCCCCATAAAACCTGGGAAGGAGCAGCAAGACATTGCGGTCAAGACAGAACAACTCACACCACAGGATAAGCCCTCTTCCTTCATCTGGTCCTCCACCTGCTCTCTCCAAGTACCAAACACATCAAACACAGCTCCACAAGGCTGGTTAGGCCCCTCTCCCTGATGAGCCTACCACAGGATGCCTGACCCGGTACTACTCACTGGGAAGAGACAGTGGGGTTCTCCCAATACAGTACACGGTACACTGCCTCGCAGCTGCAGCACATCCCACTCAGGAACCCCTCCAGCTGGATCAAGCTGCAAATGAGACCTCACAGTCAGAAAAAGGCCCCGCAAACAGACACCCTGGCTCTGCCACACTCATATACTCTACGATGATCAGGCTGGCCTGAACCCAGGCCCTCCG